TCCTGCTGGTTTTGGTGAATTCCCATTGACCTTTTTCATGGATTTCCATTGGATTCTGAGGGTTTTTTCCTGTTGCTTTTCATAGATTTGGGTTTTTTTTCTTGTTCTTCGTTTTGTTTGGGGGATACACGTTAATTTCTCCTGGATCTTTCTTCATTGGTTCTTGTTCATGTGGGGTTTTTGGCTTGATTTTGGTTAATTACTGTTGGTTTTTGTAGGGGGTGGGGTTGTTGGTCCTGGTTATTTTCTTTACTGATTTTTGTTGCTTTTTATTGATTTGAGGGTTTGGGGTTTTTTTTAATTAACATTACTGCTCTTTCTTGGTTATTTTTTGGGGTGTCTCCCCTCCCCATTGAATATAGATGATTGGGGGTGGCTATTGTTGGATTTTCTGTTGACTTGACTTGATTTTTGGGGCTGAAAAAGGCTATTTTTTGTTGTTTCAGTTTTCATGCAGGTTTTAGTTGATTTTTTTGTGGACGCTTTGGGGTTTTTCTTCTTTTGGGGGTCATGCTGGTTGATCTCAGGTGACGTTTTCATTGATTCTGGTTCCAGCTGAATCTCAGCTGAATTTGAGGTGGGTTTTTCTTGGTTCCAGATCTGGGGTTGGTCAAAGGCCCTTGACACCCAAGTTGGGTTTTGAGCCATTTTGTTGCTGTTCAGTCAGGTTTTTTTTGAGGGATTCTGGACATTTTTGGTTGAATTGGTTGGATGGTTTTGTTAGGGTCTTTTGGTTGGTTTCGTTGATTTTTTTAAAGAGGATTTTTGGTGAATTTTGCTGGATTTGGGGAGTATTTTTTTCCCCCCAAGTCTTTGGCTGGTTTCTGTTGGGTTTTTTTGGCCTTTTATGCTGATTTTTGTTGGGGTGTTAGCTGTTTTGTTCGGTTTTTGTTGCAGCTGAACAACCCAACAAAATGCTTTTTCTGGTTAGATTTTATTGGGAGTTTTTTGGCTGGTTTTTCCCTGCTTTTGTTGAATCTTTGACTGGGTTGGCTGGTTTGTGTTGAATTTTTGGCTGGTTTCTATTGGCATTTTCAGCTGATTTTTAGCTGGATTTTGTAGGGGTTTTTCTTTGGTTTGTGTGGGGTTTTGTGGCTTGTTCTGTTGGGTTTTCCCTGGTTTTTGCTGGGGTTTTTGACTGCTTTTGTTGGGGATTGTTGAGATTCGCTAGTTTTTGTTGAGTTTTTGGCTGGTTTCTATTGGGTTTTTTTGGCTATATTTTTTGCTAGGTTTTGTTGAATTTTTGGCTTGTTTTTGTTGGGGAGTTTTGGTGGCATATTTTTCTTTTTTTTTTTTACCAGGTTTCTGCTGGGTTTCGTTGGGTTTTTGGCTGTTTTTGTTGAGGTCTAACTGGTTTCTATTGGGGTTTTTCAGCTGTTTTTTTCTGAGTTCTGTGGAGTTTTGGGCTGCTTTCTGTTGGGTTTTTTGGCTGGTTTTATTGAGTTTTCGGCTGGTTTCCATTGTGGGGGTTTTGGCTATTTCTGCTGAGTTTTGTCGAGTTTTCCCTTGGTTCTTGTTGGGTTTTTTGGCTGCTTTCGTTAGGGTGTGTTGACTTTTTGTTTGGGTTTTTTGCTCCGTTTCCGGTGATGTTTTCAGTGGCTGTTTGTTGATTTTCTTGGGCAGCTTTTGCTGCATTTCGGTGGGTGTCCCCGATGTTGACTGGATTTTCATGGGGGTTTTGGTTGATGGTTTTGGGCAGCTTCTGTTGGCTGTTTTTTGTGTTGCCTCTGGGGATTTTTTGGTCAATTTAGGTTGACTTTTGGGTTGTTTGTTGTTGATTTGGGGTTTGAGTTGGATTTTTAAAATCATCTTCATTTGACTTCTTGGTTGGTTTTTGTTGATTTTGAGGGGTTTTGTTGCTTTTTTTTTTTAATCAATTGTCTTTGATTTTTGTGTTGTTTTTTGCTAACTTTGGGGGGCTTTGTTGGGTTTTTTGACTCAGTTTTGGTTGACTTTTTGATTCCTTTTTGTTGATAATATTTGGGGGTTTTATTTTGGGCTTTTTGTTGGATTTCTTGATCAGTTTTTGTTCACCTTGGGGGATTGTTGGGTTTTTTATATTATTATTGATTTCTGTTGAGTTTTTTGCATTGGGTCTGTGACTGGGGATTTTTGTTGACTTGGGGGGGTGTTAGATTTTTAAATTTTATTTTAATCAATTCCTTTACTTCTTTGTTGTCTTTCTTTTTGGGCTGGTCTTTTGTTGGTTTTGCGGAGGGGTGGGGGGGGGGGGG